TCTTTTAAAATGTGGATGAAATGTTTGCTTTTTATGTATTTTTTATGTATGTTTTGATTTGATAACTTTGAACTAAACAGATTTTCTATTAGCTTGATCAAAGTTTGGCACCCAGTTCATAGCAGTGCTTATATTGATTTTCTGACATCTTGTTTTCTGTAAAGATTTATTGGTAGGTTTGCAAATGTGTATCAGACTGTGCAATCTCTCCATGAGTTGGTTTTGAAACCCAGTAAGGGATTCTGAGATACATTACCAAGGATATTATTACAAGATAAATCATTTGCTTCATTGAACACATACAACAATGCATATTTCCACTGAGATCAGTGACCTTTGATGTGTATCACCAGTGATCAGTCAAGTAGAAACAGTCGAAATATTTTATCTGTTTTTCTCAATTTTTGCAAGATATTTTCATACAGGACATCTGTTGTTCAAACTCAGGGAAGACTTTATACTGATGAACAAGGTGACCAAGTTTGATGAAGTTTGGAATAGAAATAGTAAAGTTATCATGCACACAATAACAATTATTAACGACGACAACGACGACGACGACGACGACAACGCCGGACAAAATCTTTCCCTTAATATACCTTTCCCTTCCATCTTTGATGGTACGGGCAAGGTAAAAATGCTGTAACTCACAAACAAATTTAATTTCTGCTTGCGCCTGTTTGGCACTAAAATGACATTACGAAAACACACGAAGCAGGTAAATGCGAGTGCTGTCGGGAATCATCGGGTTAACGTATGTCATTAAACCACCGGAAAGTTCTGCCGAGGCACGCATTCTACATACGGGCGTAATCTTCAATTCAAACCTACAACAATAGGCGTTTCCCTCAGTTGTACTTACATAAACATTGCAAGCACTCAAATAATAAAATAAACAGAGAAGAAAGCCACAAATGGCCGCGTTCAGAACATTTAAATATAGTCGTCATTGTCAAATTTATAAGTTAGATTTTGACCGAAAAAGGGAAATACCAATATAGAAAAAATTACACCAAACATGCAAAGGTCAAACAAAAGTTTGTGTAGACTACTCTAGCCACAAACAATTCTTGCACACACTTGTGTTAGCATAGTAATGAGCAAGCGATATTACAGATTAACCTAACTGGGTTGGATAGGATTTTCTATAATTCACGAAAAACGAAAGTTGTTTTACAATGCAGAGGGAATTGTATTGGAATTCAGGACCTGTGTCTGGGATATAATAGCGGTTTTTGAGACAAAAGTTGCTGAAAATAGCAAAGCTACTAAACCGTGTTTCTTTCAGAATACAAAACAGGCTTTGTCATTTACAATTGGGCAGATGTACTTATATATAACAAATACTGCATTTAAAAATATAACTGCAAGCGTTGTTTCAATCATGGCCATATATGATGACTTGATATTTCGGTCATATATTCTGTCTGACAACACATTTATAGCATTTGTTAATGCACCCAATGTGCAAATTACAGCACATGACAATGTATGGAATACTTTAGTCATATCTATTGTCTAATGATTGTAATACAGAACGGAATGCTTGTCCTTGACTGCAACACTGACTGAGATATTAGAGTTATGCATATTAATTAGGGTACATGACCATATATGGTCATCTGATATGTTGGTCATATCTCTTGTCAAATGCTTCCATGATAGCACTTGTTGACTATTTTTATTGTTTGAGATATTACAGTTATGTATATCAATAAGATCACATATATATATACGCATATATTTAAACTTAAAGTAATCAGATCTGTGGATTATTCAATAGCACCTATGCATCAAGTTTCATTGACATTTGATGCGTGGTACTCAAGATACGTGGAATTAGTGATTAGTGAGCACAAAATTAAACCCTAAGCTAAACACGTGTATGACTTATTGTAGAGCATCTATGTAACGCGTATCATTGAAATCTGACAAGCGGTTGGTGGAATGCCTGACAATTAGCTAATTAATATGCAAATTTGATAATTAATATGCACAGATTGCAACAAAAAACTAATCAGTTCTATACTAGAGCATGAATTTCATTTCATTGAAATCCGATTATTGCTTCTTGACATATCAGTGGAACACACATATATAACACTAAAAATGTCAATGAATTATTATAAACTTTATTATTATAATTTTAATATTCAGGCATAACCTCATAATTTTAATAATTAACTTACAATAAATAATTTGTGTGAATGAATTGTATAATTAAAGTAGAAATTTGAAACAACAGAAAATAGTTCCCGATTGTGTATACATGTACACATTTAAACATCGAACATATAACATATACTAGCTAGAATAATTAAAAAAACACGCATGTGTGGATTGTGATGTTAATATCCGTGTTGTCAATTGTTACTGTACTTAATATAGGAAGTTCAAATGTAAAAACAGAAAAAAAGGAATGTAATCAGTATTACAATTAAACATGTTAAAATAGCCAGCAACTTCATTGTGGGAATATATTTTATATTAAATTAGCGACTGTCTGAATTGGCGAAATTACGGATTAGCTAAATTAAGTAAAATAACACGTTAGCTAAAACGACATGTTTTACAGTATATTTGGTAATGTATTTCCATACAATGTAAATAAAATTCATCACAGAAACTGAAAACATATCAGCTTAATGTCACCGTTATTGAAGGACAAATATTCTATGCAACCTCTATCGTCTTATGTGTCGACGACAGTGTAAATCATGCGTGTGTGCCATCTAAACCAAACGAAGCTTTGTCACTTATGTTAACAGAGGGGTCTTCCGAAGAATACAGGTGGTTATCAAAACCAACAGTGCCGGCGCCACCTTTAGGTGATGATCGCCAAGAAGGCATCTTCGGCATGTTCAGACGACCATCTCGTTGCATTATAACGACGTATACCAAGACAAGAACCAGTAGTACGAGCAGAATGATACCAATAACGATTCCTGCAATAGCTCCTCCGCTTAGTCCTGGTGGATGAAAAATACAACCATGTATTAGCCTAATGATATGTTTTTTTGTTTAGTTTCGGTTTGATTTCAGTGCACAGTATATTGGAATATATGGGCAGTTTAAATCCACATGCTTGCTAAAATAACAATAGGGTAGAGAACGTCCGTTTAATATCAGTATGAATAAAATATTTAAATATCGTAATTATTTTGTCTTCGTCTGTCATTTTAGCTGTTGTTGTTGAATCTTTTATTTTGTAATCATTATAAATTACATTTCAAATGATACACGAACATTATATAATGAAACACACACAAACATCTCCATACATGTTGGACCAAGCCAAATGTCGGCTCGCACAATTTAGATGCATGCCAAGATTTGAGCTGGGGTTAGAATAATAGATACAATCTATATGGGATAAAAAGAAGCTACATAAACAACACAATCCTACAGTGTGTTCCTTCTTCACATGGCGTATACGTACCAGTACTTGCTTCAGATGATCCTTCTCCGACGTTCTCTGCAAATAAAATCAAATAGAGAACTGTAACTGATCCACCAGCAGACTCACTATACATATAATTGTACGTTTTTTGATTAAATGTATACACAGATACCATGCACATATTATTTCTCGTTTTACCTTTATTAGCCTTACATACAAATCCCTTTGTCCAATAGCAGTCCACGTCGTTCCATTCTCCAGAAGACCTATACATTTCAACACAATCTTCTTGTGACTCCTGATCGTTGGGTTCCCCAGTAGCCCAGTTAGAATACGACACAGCACTTTCGTCCACCCATACAAACCCACCTGTGAAGAAAGGAGCACATTTGGGAGATAATATTCATACATATTGATGCTCTTGCCGAGTCAGTTTATTGCTGGTGAATTATTGTAAAATTAATCACAGACCCAAGTACCCCTCAACCCAGCGACACAATTCGTTCCACAAGCCAGATTCCGAGCTGCTAATAACGTACATGAGTTTCCTATTTTAATACATAAAAATTGAATGATATTAAAGTGAACGTACCAGCCGAGTTGCGTGTCATACCAATCCACACATTCCGCGTTTCACTCAGTAATTGGTTTTGGATGTAATCGTTTTCATCTTGACTACCAATCGTTACGAGATATCCGCCTATCGTACTGCATTCGAACGACGCTTCAGGCCAGTTCTTTGGATTTGCGATTTGGTCAAACTTATAACAGTGGTTTGCATATTCTCTCCACTCAGTGCCCTCTGGACAAGTGCCCCCTAATGGTTTAGGAGTTGTTGGACGGTCACCTATGTTTTAAAAATATGTCAGATCAGGTACTATTAAACATAGATAAAGTCGCGTTCATAACGCATGCCCGCATGGCCAATGGAGATGTAAAATAGCTTTCCAGGATACATTCAATAACAGACATTTTTTGAGAAGGTTTGTGTGGAGCAAAACTGCATTCTGTGTATTGTTGTTATCATATATTTTCTCGCCACTGGCTTCACCTAATAATATGATAATATATACGCTATATGACATAAAACAACAAATAATCATCAGTTGATTGGCACAATTGCAAACTCACATTAAGTGATTCAGAACCAATTAATAAAATATTTCAAATGAAATACACCGTAATTTTCAGTTCTCACCAATCCAATATTTGCACACTGCGGCTGTTTTGGTGTTACAAGTCGTGTCATCCCATGCTCCAGACTGCTTCATCATAACACATCCTTCACCAGTATCTTTACTTGGTTCACCATCGCCCCAGTGGGTAAATATAACTGGTGTCTCATCTGTCCAGTCGTACTCGCCTTCGACCTGTGTTATGAGGAAAACAATATAATTATGAAGATCTTAGTAAGAACTCGTTATTGTGCGTGTGTTAACCTGGGATATATTCATAACGCATGTAGGTATATGACAGCTGTTTGCAGACAACCTTACACAGGACAAGGATGCCAACAAATGGTGAAAAGAAGGTCAAACAGGATCACTTTGTCAAAAAGGTGAATTTTGCCAAATATTCAACAAATACGTACTACGGAAATATGTTAGTTGATCTGCCGCGCTGGAAGCACATGGCGAAAGTCCAGTTCCTTCACAAGTGCAGCGCTATGAACAATCAGAAAATGCACTCCAAATAGGCTTAACCAACAAACTCTCACAGAGATCAAATAAGCAGTTGCGGATCAGAGACCTACAACTGTTACTGACCAAAAGGAGACGAGACATGGCACTGAATCCTCCCCCCCCCCAGAAATTGTGTAGGCACCTCGCATTGTATCCATGCTGTGGGGGCAATCAACAAACTACCGTAACAAATCCATTTAGAAACCAGACTGTGTCCAATTAAGGTTAAAATAACAAAAACGGCAATCAAAACGATGGACTTTCAGGGAGAATTACTTGTTGACAAACACGCCGACAGTTTTACCAGGGCGGCATAATTTCGCTGTGGCAGTGGCATGTATTCTACAAAGCGGCGATGTAAGACAATTGTAATAGTTTGCGTGTTAGTCGTCTAAGCCCTGCCGCACACTGCCTGGTTGTACACGCCCAAATGCGTTCAGTCTGAATTAACATCATCCACTATCATTCATTCACAATAAGAAGATGCAATTTGCGATTAAAAAATCCGTAGTAAAAGTATGTTTAAATTATCAAAACTTTAAAACCTTGTATATGTAAAACATAAATTCAAGTCATTTCAGGAAAAATGTTCTAGAACTCTTTATGTGAGGTTGGGAATACACCCATGTAGTCGTTTAAAACATCATTAAACAATGTACGTTACTTTTGTACAGATTGTAATATTGCTATTATAATACAAAATTACTGAACCCTTTGTTGAACAACTGGTCTACACTTATCCTGTCCCTTAGCATTTTCTTCATGTTATCTCGTTTATAAATAGCATAAAATAATCAAACATTTTCATGTCATTGCTTGGAACCAGTTTGTTACTATTAAGTGTGGAAGAGCGTCATGTCGTGTCAGGCTGTGCTATTATATCTAATATGGCAGTCCGCTCTTTACTGGACGCGTATGACATGAACGCAATGACGTTCTATACAAATATCTACTAAATATGTAACGTACATTTCAAAACTTAAAATCCATAATACCTTTTGATTTTACAATAAAATAAATGATACGCTGCTAAACATGCCTTCCGACCAATTAACATCAAGCATAATTAACAGGTTATTATTCCTAATATGCATTATTAAATGTTAACTTCGGCACTTCTTTAAGCTTTTCTTTTGTTAGAGACTTAATGTATACACATTGAAGAATATTAGTGTATACAGGGTGGTGTTAGACGCCCTAGGCTCTCTGGTACTCTATGCAGTAGTTTTTGTATCCTAGATCGGATTCTGAATATTGCTATTAGCCAATAACAAACATAAACACACCCAAGACGATAATATTACGTCATATCCAATATGTAAATGCCCTCTTTTAATATCAATAGATCTAAATGACACGAATGGCTAAGTACAGTTGATCTTCGCATTGTAAAGAAAAGTTTTGTAAGCCTGTCTTCAATCAAATAAAGTGGACTCAGACCTGGGACACAAACTTTATTTCAAAATGACAGAGGCTTCTCGTCACCGTTTACACCATTGCAGCAATACGAAGACAATACGGGAAACAAATATGTAAGCGTTTTGTAGCACCTTGCATGCTGAAGGTACATGATATAGTATAGTCACGGTGTGTCATGAATTTACTCCAATCATACCTTCTGGTCTGTGAGACCAATCCACACTTCTTTTCCAGTCTGTAACATCAGCATCTCTACGTAGGCTTGTTCGTATATGTCCTCAATGCTAACAAGACTGGTACCATCAGCGCTACAAGCCGACAAGCCATCGTTGAAACTGTAATCTTCACTTAGTACTTTGTAGCAACCCTTCCAATAAAACTCGTATCCTGACTTACATGGGTTTGGTGCCTGAGTTTGTTCTGGGAAGGAAGGATCTGAAAAACACGAGATAAAATAAGGCTTAATAGTTCGTCATTAAGTGACATCCATGACGTCTCGACACTTCAGTACATGTGTGTTAAATTAACTATTTATTGTACACGATCTGTTTCTTGTGTCACATAGATTTTTTTTTGTCATAGTAGTGATAGTTGCCAAGACTGTATATGCACATGGGCCAAGCAACATCTAAGTATAGATGGTAACACTCATTTGAATGGTAACAATTAAATTTTACAACACTTAAGCATAAAAATATAACGATTAATGCAAATTCAGACTATTGATCCTGCCTACATCGATGCTTTTCTGCTTGATTCCCGGGTAATTCACAAATCAAAGACAACATTGCAGATAAAAAAAGATTAACCTTGCTAGTGCCATCCAAAAACAATTTATTAATTAATATATTTAAATTTGTTGGACGTCATATACAAAATACTTCGCTCTCGTTTTTCCTCTTCAATTAAAAAAAACGAATAATATTTGTGAATTGGGATCAAAATTGTGAGTAGCTGTATAATTAAAGTCTTTTAAGTAATATAAATCTGTAGTTATGCAATTGGAAACTTACCTCTGTTTCCCTGACAGACGTAACCAGCTCCGTTGCTGCAACCATGGTCGTTCCAGTACCCACCGTAGCCACCCCAATGCATTTCAACACAATTTTCCTAATGCACATATATATATATATATATATATAAACATATTATCACTGTGTCGAGGTGGACATGTATATTTCTTATACGTACACAATTCAACGGTATAATCCGGGACAATCCTTAGATGCTCGTAATCAATGGGTAAGACAACAAATCAATACGATAAGTTCATTAAATAGCTACGTACCTGGTCTCCGCCGTTGGGTTCGCCAGAATTCCAATTATAATAATTAACAGGCGAGCCATCAGTCCATCGATATCTCTGTTCATCTATAGTATCACTTAATCCTATCCACATCGAGTAGCGAATATCTCGCAGGTTACTTGTGAGAAAAGCTTGTAACATAAATGCATATAGTTAGAGGTTAGTGAATATAAAAGCATGGGCTCGAAGTGTACAACGGATTACATGCGATATATTGCGTCATACCTTGCAATTCTTGAGAATGGATGGTCACGAGATCACCACCGAAAGAATCTTGCGCACGGCACCTATCACGCGCACCATACCAATCAATGATATCCCCGGCATCTTCTCCGTTGAACGAATAACATTTTCCTCCGTATTCCATAAATCCCGATGGGCAATTGCCGCTAGTTGGCGACGTTGGATCGTGAGTGGGCAATGGGGCTCCGACGTATTTCCGACAAACAAATGTGAGGCGGTCGCCGCAGTTTAAGTCATTCCAGGAGCCATCTGCATGTTGAATAATAATAGTTCAATATTTACAACTGTGTAAGCAGAACATCGACTGCGAAATTTTTAATTTTCATGAAAATAGTTTGTAGTTACGCATGCGCACTTACCACCTTTCCTCATTTCAGCACACTGCTCTTCTCCGTTGGAGTCATTGGGTTCTCCCTCTGCCCAGTTCACATAATCAACTGGAGTTCCATCCGACCACCTAAAAAACAGTCTCTGTTAATATTGTAATTCATTAATTATCTATGAAAAATATATTATAATCAATGTCTGGTAATAGACTAGCTGACTAGTAACAAGTTTAAGCTCACATGTTGACTTACTCATAAGTATTGCCAGCTCCATACTCACGTATCCCAATCCATGACGATTCTTGTTGCTGTTTAGTTGTAGAAAAGAGTATGTTAGTAACAGTGATTCAATTCGAACTATTATTAATACAATTCCAGGGCAAAATCAGCTTAGAGATATACTAGTGTGACTATCGGATTTACCATTTGATGTATGAATCGCTGTTCATCCACGCTGTGAATAGAAACCAAATCACCGCCATTGAAATAACAATATGAACGTGCGTCTGACCATCCTTGTCTTCCATTAATGCTGTCACTAGGGTCGCTGAAGTAGTAACATGACTCATCATACAAATACCAATCCAGAGAACTATGGCATACACCGGCTGAAAACAAATTTAAATAGTATCACACAACGATAACTTTTCTTTCGAGTAACTGGTTAATAATCTATTCTAGTTCGTCTCAACTATATATCTGTAATAAGGATTTTAGTACTCACATTTTGTTGCCGTGATTGGTGGTGGTAATGTGACTGGTGTAATATCTGTAAGAAGTAAATACAAGGGTTATTTGAAGTAGCAGGTGATGTATCAATTCTGGCTTTGTATAACATTATAATGTTCCTAGCCTGGCATGTAAGCGTGAGTGGTGCCCTCGCCGGCCGAACGGCATGGGTTTGGAGCACCGCGGAGGGTGCAACTCACGCGACCTTGTCAGGCTAATAATGTTCCTTACCTTTGGGAATTTTGCAGATCCAATTTCTCCTTCTATCGCAGTCTACATCGTTCCATCCCGATTCTGTACTGAAGAACATTTCAACGCAGTCTTCATTCTCTGCATCATTTGGTTCTCCGTCGTTCCACCTTGTATAGGATACAGCTGAGCCGTCACTCCACTTAAAGCCTGTGAACATGCACTATATAAATAATTCAGCACCACAACTTGAATACACTGCTCGACATTCGATTCAGAAACACGCCAAGTAACATAATGATACGTACCTGATTCTGTCTCTTGATCATTCAAACCAATCCAGAAACCATCCCACCAGTTGCTAAAAAAAGTTGCTAATGAATATCATGACAACGAAAATGCTCGTCACATTGTCCCAGCGAAGCACACCTGTCCGCCATAGAAATATACATTTTGCCGGCACAGTGCGCACTCTTGTCATTTCTATTTGTTTTAGTAAAAATCCTAAAGGCCACACATCATAATATTAATTTAAATTCATGGTTATTGTTAATGAATAACGAAATGCAAAACTCACTCTGTTCCTATATTGTCAATTACATATAATTCTTCTTCATTGCTGTGGAAGCTGGCTAAATGCCCGCCCATATTTTTGCAGTACTCCTCGGCTTGCGTCCATGTCTTTCTATCATAGTCTCCAAGCTGCTCGTATTCCTTATAAAAAATACAAAAAAGGGCATAATTTTGATTGATAAACAAATCGAAATTAGACAACTCTATGAGGGGGTGGTTTTGATTGGACACCATCGACAACCTCGGCAAATATACGTGCCATTGAAAGACATCTATGATTGAACGCTCAGTTTGCAACTGCGTTGATGGAGGTGGATCATGATCCAGTAAGGAGAATAACAGCGCCAATTGTGCATTAATATTAACCTCAATAGTAGCAAAAATATTGTTGGATGATCAGAAGTTTCAGAAAAGACTGGTACCGTGCTCAGTCGATCGTTGGCATGGCGCAGTCTCATTGTTCGATCGATACGACGTCGACGTGACGTGTAATGGACAGGGGCTCGTGTGTCAATGTAATGTGAACAATTGAAAAAAAAAGATGCAATTAGCTGATCCACTCAAGATTTTGTTAACTGTATTCCAAAGAGATATTATCTCCCCAAATGAGTACGACTGTTCCACGTACAAAAAATATTTTGCGAATAGACTTACCCTGAAACAGTTATTTCCGTATCCTGTCCAACCAGCACTGCATCCATTGTCCGAGGGACTTGTTACAGGAACGTCTCCGGGTACAGGTGTATATCCGGGTTTCAGTTTTTCGCACACATACGCATGTGACTCCCCACAAGGAATACCACTCCATAGTCCAGCGCCAATTTTACCTGAAGCCATCGCCACGCAGTCCCCAGTGGTTGGATCTAACAAGGTAGATAGTTTATGTAGTTACTATGAGATTACATCTTTTGATTAATCAGCGGCAAGGTATAATACTACTTAAATGTAAGGTTATACCTGGTTGTTCATTGTCCCAGTTACTGTATTGTACTGGTTGGCCGTCCACCCATTCATAGGTACCAGGTTCATTTGTATCAGATAGTCCAATCCAGTACATATCTCCGTTGACGATTGACGTCAATTGGCTTGTCAAGAAAGCTTGCTCAACGCTACGGAAACATAACAACTGGGTTTTATTCGCCAAAGCACGAACATTTATTCTTGTAGTGTACAACCTAAACTGAGGCACTTTAGGAACTTAAGTTTCAATTACGCCTGCTCTTCGATAACATATAATTCAGTAACATGGACGTACTTTGAAATACTTGAAACGCGTAATCGAATATCATCTGCGTATTAATACATACTTGTCGTTTACTGTGACCAGGTTACCACCAGACTGTTGACAACGACTTTGCGCAGAATCCCATGACTGTGGAGATTCTGATTCAAATTGATAACATGACGTGTGGAAGGATGTCCATCCCTGTAAAAACACTCGATTTATTAAGTTGTTATTATTGGGAAAAAACATAGTAGAAAATAATATAATCGTAATTCTACTAATGACACGTTGGGATACAGGCAAATAAGAACAATAATACACGGTCGTTTCATAAAGCTCTAAACATGAAAAAAGGATCAAGACAAGAGAACGTCTGCAAATCACGGTCTGATGCATTGACATTGCCACAACATGATTAGAAAATGATTTAGGCTTACTGATGCACAGTCACCCGAACTGGCTGTTGTTGGTGGCAGAACCTCTTTGTCTTTTTTACACACCGAGGGACGCAGTTTACTGCAGCCGTCGTCGTTCCATCGACCAGCCTTGTCTTCCTGCATATCACAAATAAATAAAAGTAGTATATACGTTCTATTATTGCAAACAAACCTATAGTTTCCAAACTACTTGTAGTAAATTTTAAAAAATAAATAGTAAGTGAGTGAATAAATGAATAACCGAATTATTAGATTATATGTAAGTTTAATTGAATTAAACTGAATCAATCAATTGATATACAATTTGCAAGTCGTCTACTCTAGTGAACTAGTATGATTCGAGCCAACCGCCTTCACTAAACAGGACTGTTATGTTAATCACTGCGCTGGCCAGTTGATTCCACTGGCAATGGAGCATTATGGGATACATAGGACTCACACATTAAATTAAGTGTGCATACTTTCAATTATACATATGACCAAATCATTCTCGACACCTTGTAGATAGATAGATGGCAAGTAACAAAATGCAAGTCTCCCTAACTTAGGATTCCGACCCATGTTAGGATAACAGTCCTGTGTACTGAAAGTGCAGGACTGATATGCTAACATAATTGTTAAATACATGCTATGTAAGTTAATTATTTCATTATATCGTGCACCTGACTGAACATCATCACGCAGTCTTCCACATTTCCCTGCCAATTGTTCGGCTCATCAGTTCCCCAATATGTAAAGGTAACAGGAGACGAATCACTCCAATAAAATGTCATCTGATCAACCTGATCATGTAGGCCAATCCAAAAAAAATCAGCTGAAAATAAGCGTAATTATTTAGTCACGTGATAAAATCGTATTATTTTTAATTAATAAATAATAACACACATGCATATTCATTGGAAAGAATTGCAAGATTTCTCAAACAACAATACCACTTCCAGTAATGCGTTTTTATTACACATGAAATATACAGATCTGATTCACAATAAGGAAGTAGTCTTTATGTCTTTATTTCGGAGTAGTACCATATCATCAATCTGTATGTGTATCTGTATCTGTATATATTCATGTGTTACAATACCCAACCGACTTCTGTTGCCTTGGAACTCTTTCCCCCAAAACGTCTAGAATGTTTTCTAAGACTTTACTTTTCCGGTGAGTTATTTCAAAATCTAAATCTAATACTGAGCAGCCAATAAAATTACCCTTCCGATTCATCTATTCATAAGATTACCCCTTCGTGGCCAGAGGGTAACTGTTACGTCAATTAGCTGACAAAAACAGCAGCCTGGTAATCTGAATATACTAAGAAATATACCAGTTTTTCTCGCGTGCTAGATCAAATCAGTGACACAACAGTAACGAAACTGCGACCGTGCGGTTCTTCGTGATTTTGCAGTGAATTTGCATGATTAAAATGCAAAATCTTCGAACATTAGTCGGAGCGAAAATAACCCTAATAATGTAATACTACTTACTTTCATCAGTAGTGCAGAACCTGAACAGTCCGTCACTGCCCCACCCTGTAGTGTAGCCTACATAATTCACGGTCAGGGGCGATGGGTCTTTCCATTGCATAAACGCGTTCTTTCCCTTCTCTCCAACGCTGACTTCACCATTATACCAAGTTATCCAGAAACCTCTCCACGAAGTCGAAGATAGTATATTTGGCGTGCTCACGTGAACTTCGTCAGTGCACATAGCGCAGCGTCTGATGGCGGACGCGGTGTTGTCCCATCCGCCGATGACGATCTCGTACATGGCGCCCTCATTGTTTTGATCGTCCGAAAGTGCTATGTAGACATCGTTAGATGCCTTAACCTCAAACTGGACACGAGTACTGCCGATGGGTGAAGGTGACCAACGATAGTCGTACTGGTCGTCTGTTGAATCGCTCTGCCAAGTATCACATGCTGTAAATGAAATGAGTAAATATGTGTCATCGGCTACTACTTGTTGTCTATTAAAATCCTACTTTTGTCGCAAAACATGTTTGAACACGAAGTAATGGGATAACTGTGGCGCTTCATTGCGGTTTTATGGTCCATGGGTCCACACACGAAGCCCATTCGGCAGCGCGGTTATGTGTTCCATATAATGTTAGGACAAGTCATTAATGAAGTCATGAATGCAGATTTTGGTGCAACATCGGAATACTAATTAGTTAATCTGCATACTAATTAAGTAATTTCAGCATATTATATGTTGAAATGCTAACAACAGTTTGTTAATAGAATTGAATCTCTTTACGTGCATACTGTTTGTGTAATTCCCTCAAATGTATTATTCCACTGTGTGAGGGCGCTTCAACTACGTCATTGGCGCGATTCAAACTGTTCTGAGTTCGCGTACGGTGGGGTCAAACATCAATATGACGGATACATTGATGTATGTGAATTAGATGAATCGCAACTCCATCGCTTGACCTTGACAATTTCATTTGACAATTTTGGACAGAACTATTTAAATTTACTAAATATTATTTGAAAAAAATAAAAATTATCGCAAATATAGGACAAATATGACATGGAATGTCATGATGTCACATTCAAAGTAAAGCGTTATGTTAATGGACATTGATATTTCAGTCAATGTTGAAATGTGTTACGAATTTTACGAAGATCGCTGTGTTTTGAATATTTGAGTGCTGGAAATGTAGCAAAGTATCAACTTTTGCATTAAGCAAAGCGATACTAGTTTACTATCCATTGGTCTCGGAGTTGGTACAAGAATTTATATGAAAAGACAGTAAAACAGTTGTGATACTATAAAACAAATATGCCTATTTCTGAAAAAATAAGAAAACAAGATTACAAGCATCGTTATGCTGGACTGTGGGGATGCAACTTTCAACTTGTTAGTTGTGAAAAATAATCTCAAATTGATTTGGCAAGATAAAAATAATAAAATAAAAATAACCGAATATTTTTAAAAAAAAAGAATACTATTTATACACTTGACAAATATTTGATTATAAACATTCAGTGTATCTCTCTTTATGGCGTCCAGTACGTTCTGATAGGCCAGAAGTGTAGTGCGCCCGCGTACGGTGGAAGTGGAATAAATTATCTTCTTTGCGGAAATCGTCAATTACCTTATGTCAATGTTTTTTGTTAGCTATCTTTGCAGTAGTATGGAAACTTACATTTTTTTAGCTTACGACCTTATTCAAATTTGGTTATTAAAATGCACTATGAGACAAAAAAAAATAATAGAAACGTGTCATTCGCATCCGTATTGATTCGGTTGTAGTTCAGGCACAGTGCACAGTATACTCACAGGCTCGTAACAACGATAATACAAAATTGTTTTCATTGATGTCAGCAATTGATACAAGATCTCCGCCCTCTCTCCTGCATACGCTGAGGGCGTCGTCCCAAATCATAGCCGAGTTTTGGACCAGATAACACTGATTTCCATAACTAGACCATCCATTGCTGCATCTTGAACCCTCCGGTAATGGCGTGGTAACAACTTGTACTGGTCTCGAGACTGAAAAAAAAACAAAAAAAAAAACGATAACATCGAATAGTAATACCGATTCACAGTAATGACAGAACAGAATGTCCAGTAAAGCTATAACATGTATATTGTCACTGCCAGAGATCGGATAATCGAGAATTATTTAAGCTCACATCACGTGCGAATAGCAATAGCTTTGTTTAGATTCAATATGTTCAATGTTGTACCTGCGTGAACAAATACATAACAAGTTCGTCACGATTTACTTACCAACTTCATAATAGTCGTAGGGATCATCCGGGTAGTCATAGGTCAGCCCTCCACCCGAGTGTTGATTGTCACTACTTAGTTGACATTCTAGTTTCACTTTATCATAATCGAAGGAATTACAAGTAAATGATGTTTCTTCCAAGCAGAGGATTCCGCACTCCTCGGGATAAACAGGTCCACTGACGTGCTTGTTATCGTATCCCTCCATTGCGGCGTTGTGATAGACATTGTAATACTCGACAAGTACACCTGAAAAGAAGTAACAGGTTATCGCGAGAAGAGTGCGCACATATAACACACACCTACACACACAGGCCAATACCATGTACTGTATTCTATTCACACATCGATTATTGTCAACGTCAAATCGATATGTCAAATAATATCAATAGTTTAACAGCATAGGCACGCCACGAACTTTGGTGACATGCCACATATACAGGTAAAGCAGGTCAGACGAACTGTTGTTGTTGTTGTTGTTGTTGTTGTTCCGTTATACGTGTGTGTCATTGCTTGATGACAATGGAAGGTAGTTTGACTGAAAACATACCTGACATATAGCGCGCGACTAGACGGGTAAAGCCACAATTTGATTTGCAATATTCGAACGCTTGATAATTAAATAAATGTTTGACATTTAACCACGAGTGAAATTCCATCTCCCTGTGCGGAAAGTAAAATGTCCCACCTTTGTTTTTACAGATGTATCCCATTTCTAATGTACAGACTTGGTCGTTCCATTTCCCGGCACTAACACGCAAGTGAGCACAGTCCTCTCCTTCGTCGCCATTTTCCCAATTATCTGGCTGGCCTAAAACGATCAGAATAATAGCAAGTAATCAATCATTTCGCAATAGAATAAATGTACTGAATGATTAGATTATCAATAATATAAACCCATATGCGTACTACGATTCGATTCTTGGGTTGTACCGTCACATGTACCCTTATCACTATTCACAAAATCCACACCCTTCTGATTACCCTGTTAACAATATGTATATCATTTCACAAATTACACATCTCTTTTCAACCCCTATTTTTTTCTGAATAACCAATTTAAAAAATACATACTCTTATTATCCCTTTACAAAATGTACATTTCTTTACAGCCCCTACCATGTTATGGTGGCTATGTCTTTCACAAAATATACACCATGTTGCAACTCCTACCTCATTTAATTATGCCTTTCACAAAATGTGCACAACTTCCAATTATTCCTTTAACAATAAGCACACGCTTTTGCAACTCCTGTTCCTACAGCTGAAGGTTACCGCCTTCACAAAATGTACACCCCGGTTCAATCCCTTTGTCTTCTGACAATATTTACAGCCCATACATCGACTGGTTGCTTATTTCCCAAAATGCTCACCCCTTCACAGGCCCCACCTTTTCTGGTTACCTTTTTCACAAATTGGGCCTTTTCAATCCCTATCCTTCCTGACCACCCTTTTCACAAAAGCGCCTACTTTTTTAGTCAGCCCTTTATACAATACACACATACTTACAGTCCCACTTCCGATTATTCATTTTCACAAAATGTACACAACTTTGAATCCCTTACCCCTTTAAGGTTCGTGGGCACGTGGGTACTTGGGAGTGAAATTGTTTTTTGCTTTCTATTATCCAAACAGTCTTGGCTATAGACTGTTGAAAAATTGTGAATAGTGGAACATACTCAAAAAACTAGTTTAAAATATAGATAACAGGTGCAAAATTATCTCTTTTAAATGCTTAGCAAGATTTAGCAAGGCTGTACATAAATAATAAAAAAGAAACATGGTAAAAAAAATGATGGGATCTCCATATTATGCACTATATTTAACTTTTAACAAAACGATAATACATTAAATTTAGAATTGTTACAGCCATTTTAATTATGGGCATTAGCAAACTACTTACTGAGTGAATTGTTATGCAAATTAGCAATTATCTCAGCTTCTATTCAGTGCACATCCCAGAACTTTAAAAAAAATAGCTCCTAGACGCTTTGACCTTTTGTTTTGAAATTTTCACAAATGATTGGCAATGTTTTTTATCTTCAAAACGCCATCAGGGCATCGTTTTTAGTCGAACAGTGTTACAACAGTCATACAGACAACTAACCTGGGTGATAATTTGTGCAAGAACTTGAAGTAGTGAAATTTGAGCTGCTGCTCTGCAAAATTGACAACTGGTAGACAGTTTTCAAGAAGGCACTTTCTCCGTAGTAAGCAGATGTACTCATAAACCAATTTTGACAGTAAACAGGAGCATGGTTTAGAAGCTAATTTTTTGTAAATCACTTTTGACCAAAAAAGCACATTTTTGTGCATATTTCAAACTACAGTGTCCATAACAAAAATACTACCAAAATTTTAAAATTCATACAATAAGCTTTCCGAAATTATATAGTTTTGTGGACAAAGGAGATCATCTTGGTTTCCTAATTAACTAATTAAAATACCTGTCAGGTAAACTGCGTCTCTACATTAAGTGGCCCTTTTTGACAATTTACCCCTTTTGCAATCCTGTTCATTCCAGTTACAACTTTCACAAAGTGTACACCCCCTTACAGTCCCTACCCTTCTCATTTACCCTTTTCACAACATGTACACCCTATTTCTAGAGTCACTATGAGAAGAAGTGAAAATAGAATCACAGTGACTCAAATAACTAAACACAGTTGGCTACACGTTATGCTCGTATATAGCTTTCCTATAAAATTACAGCCGGGATTATAATGCATCACATGTTTCAATTTCACTTCTATATTCCCTGTATAATTGTATTAGAAATATATCACAGAATCGTAATTACCATTGTCCCAATTGAGATATGCAAATGGCTTTCCGTCGGTCCATTCCCATCCCCCTTCTATGCCCATATCGTGTAATCCAATCCACATTACAGCAACGTTAGCGCCATACAGTCGAGCTGTAAAAGAGAATCTATACGTCATGTTCAAGTGTCTAATATTTAACACAATTGTTTACCGCGTTTAAATGTACGTGGTCACACAATATGTGATCATAAGTAAGGAAAGACATGTTTTCATATAGCAATAGTGAATTTCTCACAGCGCCCCCATATTAATTGGATGAAGAGTAGATTCTATGCAAGATTTTGTCCAGAATGGCTCTGAATCTGATTATAGCACTGTGATGATTCATTATTGTCAATGTGATATGCCATCAGTATAAGTGTAATAATTAATCCGGGATCGGATGGTGCGTAGTGTACAACGTCTGATATACTCGTACGCATCGCTGAAGTTCTTCATGTGAAATGCTTTTTTCCCAACAACACCAAAGGCATTGCAAAATGTGTCGTTGTCCCACTTAAATAATGGTATACAAGTTCAGGGCCAAAGAAGACAATGGTACTTTATAACAGGAATTAAAGGGTTACTCACCGTTGATGTAAGTCTGCTCTTCAGAATTCTCAATACTTGTCAAGTGTCCGCCACCCTTTTTACAAGACGTCTCGGCCTCACTGAAAGTTAAGGTTTCTTCCCAATCCGGCACATATCTGTAACACGTCGATGTTGAAGGATTGAACTCGTAACCGCTTCCACACCGTGGATCGAAAACAGCTGTGATATTGGGAATACGGTATTGATTATTTGATTGATTAATAGTTTACGCGAAGTTTTACCAGTTTCAATCAATGCATTATATCATGATGACGAACACCATAAGGTATATTTTCAATATTATCTAAAATTATTTCACACTGCGTTGCCCAACAAAATGTTATACTTACGCGTTGGCCGTGGTGCTGTAGTTACGATGCCAGAATTATCTGTGAATATAAGGTACAATGTTGGACATACACCATGGTATTGTCATTTTCAAGGAAACGTACATGGCGGTTAACGTTATCTCAACAATAAAAGTGGTAATGGACAAATGTATCACATTACAGGAGCTTTATCTCCTTCCAGTTTTAAGCCATTGTTAAAATAGGCGTGTAGTAATGATGCATATAACACTCCAAATTGCAATTTGTGTTTTGGTTACGCGTATAAACAATGTTATATACTATGAATGACCCTCTGAACATATTACACAGTCAAGATTTCATTTTTTATACAAATTTATAATCATGTATATGTTTCGTAGATTTTAAATACTAAATCTGACATTCCTATCGTGAGCCAGAGTTCCTACGTAGTTTATCACCGCATTTGCACCCAGGGTCCCTAGTCATCTTGTTCCGACAGTTTAACTTTTCATGAATTAACATATTCCGTGAGAATATTTGAACCGGACATATGAGGTGCGAAGCGTGGAACCCATCCATTCTAATTACTCTTTCAAATGGCCTAGTAGACCGCTATTTAACTACGCAGTCGGCACTGAATTATATGTCGTCACTGATTGCTGATGGATTGAATTGACAATCCAGGAGTTACGTCATATCGTTAGCTTATGACGTTTGTATTCATATAATGATTACCACCAGCAAAATTGATCGCCTGATACAATCGAATCAAACTGCTCAGTTTTATTTCCAGTATTTATGACATCAAAAAGTTTTCATGAGCACAAGGTAAGGCCCTCTCACAACACCTCAGGATGATTCGCTCGTTTATTATTAATAGTGGATTATCATGACTATTTACGATATATACCTAGTCCACGGTAAAGCATCAATCCTTCCAGAAAGCATGTTAATTTTATTTTAAAAGAGAACACGTTCTCTACTAATGCGCAGCTGAGATACGTAGACAGTTTTGAAATATCAATTTAACTGCGCATGTGCAGTTGCGGTCAATGACTGTGAATGAAGAATTTTCAGTTTACTGATATAAAATATGTAAAATATGTAATCACTAGTAACTCTAAAGGCTGCATCGCATCCGGGTCACTTACATTTATCTTTCTTACATATATATCCAATCATATCGTCACAGTTCCTGTCATTCCATCCGCCCGTCTTATGCTCGTATTGCTCCATATGTACACAATCTTCACCGCCTTCGTGGTTGTCATTCGGCTCGCCTGGGGCCCAGTTTGTGAAACTGTACTGTAGTAAAATGGGAATTTATGCAATAAAAAGAAAAAACAAATTCAATATACATTCTCTGTCGACGAAAAGTGTATGTGACGTTAAAGGCCCGGGTATGCAATAAATACTCATTCTAAGCAATATGGATTATTTCCTTGGAAGTCACGCTGTAGTAAACAGCTTCAGTAAAGTCGTAACTAACAGGTTGATTGTGTCCTACCAAAGTAGATATACGTGACTATGAATACCACGTCAGTGAGTATATGTTGTATTTACGCCAATATATAGCGTACGAGTTGTGATCAATAACACGAACCGGTTAAAAGACGCGCTGCTAACTTGCATATTTAACTGCTGTCAATCAATGTCGCGTAACGTTGAACCGCTGTAACAGGTTGCGTCATCCAGTCTTTATATACATTTACACAGTTCCTAATGCGAAAGACTATGACTGGCTGGTATATAGTGAGAACAAGCACTTTTTGTGTCATTTTCGTATACGCTTTTGTTACTTTGGAAGTGCTGATTGTATCCAGAACAATTCACGTTGATTTGAAATAAACCTGAGTGAAGATGTCCCTGCAGTATATTTTAGTATTTGTAATGTTATGCTTTTGAACTTTGAGAGATATATCATATTATATTTTATTTATCATAGATAGTCAATTTGAAATAATACGCGATTGTTTCTCGGCTGATGTATTTTTAACCAAGTTCGATTTTAACAGCATTCGATTTGCGCACAGGGTGAGTGTGAAGACAAGGAGAAAAAAAACATTTCATTGATCAATCAGAATGTCGGTACCATAACTAGTTAACAATGGTTCTGTACGCCACGATACGCCAGACCAATTCATGTTATTTTACACGTGTTGCTTGCGTCGCATGGGACTCATATTGAACATGACGCAGTGGTAATACCATCGATTCGTAATGCGAGTATACTAGTAACAATGGAGTCGAATATCACGTGACTTACCTCCTCGCCGTCCACCCATTCCCATTCTAGTTCACCATTCCTGTCATGCAATCCAATCCACATTGGAAACCGATAGTTGTCAATGCGGGCTGTAAATGACAACACGTGAAATACTCGTCAGTATTTACATAAGGCAAACACAAATTATGTTAAATCAAAATTAATATAGAAGCCGGGCACACCGATATATTTCGTCGTGTCTTTATGAAATGAGTGAAGTGCAGTTGTAGTAACCAGGCATTTCAAAAAACATCATCTGAATCGCACGGTCCCGTGTCTTCGACCTATTCTCGGGGGCGGGGCTACGTCACGGACGTTCGTTCTAAGACGCGCACCACTGTACCACGTATTTCTATGGGCTTTGTGCGCGCTGCTGTGGAACGCCGGTGGAGCCGGTGAAAACTCGAGAAAACAACACAAACTCAACTTTGAAGTAATTCTGAACAACCAAATTCATATATGTTACACGCGTAGGGCTAATCTTGTTACACTGTTCAGGGGACTCTCAACAACCATCGCAAAGTACCGTTTTCTGCGAGTTTGGGTTTTTGTTTTCACCGCGAGGGTTGCCAGGCGGTAGCAAATGCCCGGATGTTCGCCCCCGAGGATAGGCCTCTACACGATACCGCGCGGGATCGCATAGGCTAAACAAGGCGCCCAATCAGCTTGGACGTACCAAAGAGGATTTGTAACACGCAAACTGATTAGACAATAATTAGCCGCAACTGACTACTGGGGGCGCTGTTAGAATACGCATTTGGTCGTTCTGCCAAGTTCTGTTTAGAGGCTTGGCCAATAAACATATACCTTGGCTAGCGAAGAGAAGATGTTCAAAAAGTTATTTAAACAGGATTTTTAACCGAATATTCACATTGTCGTGATATAGTGTTCATTATTCCTATACATTTTCACTCACCACTGAGAAAACTCTGTTCTGAAGAATCAAGTATGCTTGACAACTGAGAGTCCAATTCCTCACAAGCATCTTCCGCCTCGTGAAACGAGAGTTGAGTAGTTTCCAGTAAATAACAATAGTCGCCGTGAAGGTCCCATCCAGCGTCACAGTGTCCAGTTTCGGCAGAAGGGTCTAGAGGCACCACATCACTGCCTACACGGAGATAACGGGAAAAAAATTTCATATCAAAAGCAACCTCCAGCGTCGAAGCGTTCTGCGACTCAAACTGACGTCTATGGTTGAAAGCCATTTCGTTCTGTGTGTTGTTCATTATTTAGAATACTGAATATAGTTCGTCGATTGAAAGCGACTTTCGGAAAGGGAAGTGGTATGCAGTTGTTCGTCATAAAAAACATATATACGTGATAAAAAAAACACGAATTAAAAAATTAAACACAACTTCTTACCAACTTGTATTTCACAGACAAATGCTTGAAGGATATAGCAGTTTGTGGTATCCCACTGACCGATTTCTAAAAATAAATGACAACAGTACGATACGCAAATCTGTAAGCGAACCTGCATTCATGGTATGAAAAAAATGTTTGCTTAATTGAACAATCATAATCATAGAAGGCGGTGGGCGTCGCACAGCGCGTGTTCGAATTCCATGTAAACAATGCATTTCACACGCGTTGAGTACGTCGCTATGAGTCCCATATCGAACAGAACGCGTCGCAACGACCACGGCCCTTTAAGAATCGGCTTAAATATGCGAACATTTGAAAGGTATTCCTTGTTTGTAGCTACAATGTGCTAACCGAATCCATCGAAATTCTGATCTTAAGCAAATACCGATCAATTACAATTATAATGTAGTCACTCGATCGTGTTAGGATTTCACGTTCAGTTGCATATTACAAAACGATACTGACTTTCACGTCAAATGACGCTACGTTCGTGAATGGATGCATGGAACAAGTGGACAGTAACACCATGGAGCACAGTACGGGGTTTGCTAGACAGTTAATCTATGTAAATCAATGTCAAATAGTTAATATTTAAATGCCCTTGAAGGTATTCAACTAACGAATATTTGTAATGGTGGATGGGTTTAGTTTGCCAACTAATACACTTTTAGAGCAACGTTGATGACAACCATTGATATCAGCATGTTTGGCACAATACTGATCAGAAACTGGTGTTGTTAAACCTCAGACAACCAACCTGAGGTTAAACATTTTTCGGAAGTCTGTCAACAGTGATCAACTCGCACGGCATATAAGCAACTAGAGAAGCTGAAGTGAAATGCTTGAGTTCGAGTTGAGTTATGTCACTATACACCCCTTACATTACTGACCGTATTCTTCAGTGTAATCGATGCATGTATCACACAAACAGTGATCATCAGTGTTGCCACACCAACCACTAGCAGAACAACATGGGTAACCACTATTAGGATCGCACTCAGCGGGTTCATCGTTGTAAGGGTAGTCAGAACCACAGCGTCCGTCGTCTCGCCATGTCACGGGACCTGAGTACCCGGCTTACAATTACGAAAATAAAAACAAAGTCAATTTATTTGCAAGGTATTTTCAAGGTTTATAAAGTGACCAAATAGAATAAGTGTAAGGATAACTCCCAACGTTTGTCAGAGTTACGGTTTATCATGAAGTAAAAATATGTTGTTTTGGTCATAATATATTTAAATGACATTAGATGTAATTGAATACCCAGTAACATGTCTTTTGTATTACCCGTATATGCGCATTTGAAAATGTACTGAGGAATATTCTGTTGTGTGCTTCATGTATTTGAATGTATATCAACAAACTTAACAGTAAACATATATTGAAACTCGTGTAATTGACATTCTTGTTTCAAATTGTCTGGCAGTGTTACTATCGATCGACCTGTGAAAACGCTCGATGTGATTGCGTACAGCGTGTACAAACACTTCCTACACATAATAATACGAGAATGGGGAGACCCTATTTAATACGACACAATCATATCACAATCATAGAGATATACTAATTTATTCAGAAAGATTCCAATCTTTAAAGGATTAAAAGATTCAATCATGCCTCACCGGTAAATATTGTCCCACAATCCTCTTGTCCTTCTGTGTTAACTGGTTGTCCGTCATTCCAATTTGTGTACGACACGGGAGCACCCCCGGTCCATGCAAACACGCCATCCGTTTTTGTATCTATATTTGGGAAATCAAAGTTAGTGTTGTTGTCAAACCAGTGAAAACTAATGAAAATAAATGGCGAGTAAAATGCAATAACAACTTACCGGATATACCAATCCATATGTCGTTAACGCCAGCTGTTCGCAGAATCTCAAACTCACTGACAAGATAATCTTGTTCTGATTGACTTAAGGAAAAAAAACAAGAGACTAATTTCAGAAATATATTATCATCATAATTAATTTGAGTGGAAACCTGCTCGACGTAAAACAACAAATAGACGAGATCCAAATCGCAACTATACTCGGGGGGGGGGGCACCTTATCGTAGTCTTTGAAACTTGTAAATATAACTCACATACTTATCGGGGATATTGAGGCGAACTCGGTCCACTACCTAATTAACAAGGCAAACCAGCATGTAACTGTAATTTTGACTGACAATTTCATGATATTATAGCGACATAAGCTCTTGATTTGCATGCACTTCAATGCATTCATTGACTGCGTTCACTGTCGCCAAATCGCTTAGATGACGTAGCTACATAGAAAAAAATACCGTCACATCGTAGCCACGGCTAAAAAGATAATTGCTATACTGACGAAGTATTACACAAGGTTACTGTCGCGACTTACAGGACAGTTGTATAATTGGCTAAAAACAAACAAACTAAACGTTTTAGACAACCTCACTGATACTATGACGGCAGAGATGTGTTTGTACACATTGTATGAATGTGACTTACGTATCTATGGTAACCAGGTGTGCCGCTTGTGCATCACACGTGTGTTTAGCATCGGTCCATGTGTATGGGAAGTAGGTGTTGTATTGATAACACTGTCCCTTAAAGATCTTCCACCCTGGAGCGCAGGAACCTATCACAGAAGCATATCAAACCATATCATGTCAAATCAGGAGTTCAACAGATTATTGACCGAGTGAGATCATTGCGCATGTGTACATATGTTTTTTTAAGTAGGCGGCCAAAATGTAAATAACATACATACGTAGTACCAGAGAGTAGTAGTGAGTCATTATCTGCTGACGTCACGGTTGTGTAAGTTGAGATATTTAATAAAAAGCGAATTTTATATACACTATTATGTGCACGCCCACATTGTTTTGCTGTATTTTGATAATATTTTCTGATTTCGGCTTTTTTTTCAATTTAAACCGTTAAAATTGTCTCCAAATTTGTGCTCGTTCGTTTATGTCTTGCTTCTGCATATGCAATATAGCGTACACACATACACACATGTTGTGTTTAACGTGTTTACACATTATTTCGCTTGTTTAGCGAGTCTCACCTTCTGCCTTTCCACATAAATACGGCAACGCCGTTGTACATGACTCCGTGCTCCACTGACCACTATCAGAGTGTGCTGCTTTTACGCAGTTTTCAGCCTCGCTATTTTGCATAAAATAATCATTACGTTAAGTAATTAAATCCTAACAAAACACTAAGTGATACAAATTATCGAAATTATATTTGAAAAAAAACAACAACGAGAGGTAGAAAGTCATAAACACTCACTTGTTTTGGGGTTCTCCATCTAACCAGTTTTCGTATGAGCTGGTGTCCGACCCATCAACCCACGTGTACTCTCCTGTCTCACCGCTTATCTAAGACAATTCGACGAAAGAGAAATAATTTTGCTATTGTGTTATCAACTGAGACGTTACGATGCTTTAATTAGGTGGATGGAAAGTATCGATGGAGTCGCCGGCGGTAATTATTACAAGTCGCGCCCAGGTAAAACCTCATACTTGTGATTTCCATTAGAAGAGCGCATTGGATTGTGGGAAAATCAATGTTTATCAACACAAATGTCACACATGCGCGGCGCGACGACTGCCGCGCTTTGAACAACTCGTGCTTTGAGCTCATTTGTTAATATACCTCAACCATCACGTGACAACAGTTCAACTAGCACATATTCAACACAGTGGACTCAAGACATAATGAAATTATCCATCTAGTCTGAGATGCTTTCTTACTTTGTCAGAGAGCCCAATCCACATCGACGACGATGATGAGTCTACCAATCTCGTGATGTAATCTTGTACTATCTGATTCTCAACTTCAACGAGTTCCGCATCAAGGAGCTCACAGAATGATTTTGCGTCGTCCCAACTTCTAGCCGCCTCGCGGTACTGATAGCATTTGTCATTTACTGACGCCCACCCGTCATCTTCGTCACATTTAATTTGTACATCTTAAAAATATAATGCGTCATTAGATGAGAAGACTGGCAATGTGTGTTGTAAAGTTAATGTTAATTACATAACAGATAACCACAAGCTGGCATAATTGAATGCATTCAAATTCTCCGTTGGGGGCTCTGAGTTGGTCTAAACTATTTTGTATCTTCAGTGCATGTGTTTAATTATTTAAATTTTAGAGTGTAAATTACTTTAATGGATCTCATCTTATCCTCTTTAAAAAAAGTAATGAATAAATAAAAAAACATACCGTACTCGACCGCGTTAGCGCCCATGCCCGGGCCAGCGCCCAACCCCCACTTTTACGCAATTTTCATATTTGGGGTCACATTCGGCAAAGCGCCGACCCCTTCAAAATGCAACTAATTTAAAACTTGGTCATGGTAACGAATCTTGGTAATCGTTTTTATATGATACATATCGACCCATTTGAACATGTTGTTAATGCGTAGACCACGGTAACAGTGCGTAAACTACGCTTCGACACTGACTTGTTAATACAAATAAAATGCGGTAAATATTTCATGCCATATTCAGTTTACCTCTCAAAAATGGCTAGTTACTAGTTTTTTGAAAAAAACTATGTCGTTTATTCGCTGAAATCAATTCGACATCGATAATTCACTTCCGCATTGCCTTACCGGAAAGTCTTCGGGAATTTCCGAAGAATTGCGTCGGCACAACACAGCATTCTGATTGGTTAATAACCAACTTGACCCATTAGGTCAAAGGACACTGCTGCAGTTCAAATCTGCAAATGCATTGTGGCGGAAAGTGATTTTCATCGAGAGTTTGCGTACGATCCAACACCTTCGTCAGTGGAGATAATATGAGAATTTTGACTTCGACTGTGTTCCAAGAGACTCTAATGTTTTTAATTTCGTAAATTCTGGTGGTACGTAAGTAATATTGTAATAAAATGTGCATATTTTTTGTGATCATTCCTGTTTCTTCATTGTGAAAAAATCAATGACGACGCAACTAATTTCGTAATTTGATTTTCGCTCAAACACGTAATCTGTCACATGATGAATCAAAATTTTCATTTGCACTCTTTTTCGAGGGGGGTGCTCGGTTAAGCGCCCACCCCTAACAAATCGTGATTTTCTGAGTTGAGGCCCCTGGGCGCTAACGCGGTAAATACGTATCGTAAACTCAAAATGTCCCTTTTGCGGCGCAAACAACATTATTCGTTCGATCACCAATAATAATACGCCCATGTGACGATTATTCTTGGATGTGCCGACAATGTAGACGCCTAGCCTAGAATTTAAGTGTTTTATCGAACCAATATTTAGAGCATCATGCAAGCACAACATGTATATTGAACGGCATAGAGTTGGGGTTGTTATAAATGTGTTATAAAAAACACTTTTCATAAATGGAATTGCGACATTATATACAGTTCTAATTAATATTAATGACTTGCACATGCGAGTGACAGTATATTTCCATATGGACATTACCCATCCTTTTTTGACATATATAGCCATCTCGCGTGGACGTTTCTTCACATGGCCTATCATTCCACTTTCCATTGGTTTTCATTTCACAACAGTCCTCTCCGCCATTGTCCACCCAATCGTCCGGCTGGCCATCTTCCCAATTCCTATACATGTTAAATAAAAGGGCCACGATTGAATAGAGAAATTTAACTGCGCTCTACAATTTCACTATGCTTTATTAGACACAACTGTATGTATGTTGCTCCGTGTTGAGTCTTAACAACACGATTATCGCTAAAAATAACCAACTTGAACCGCATCGGAAAATACAACCCAAGCGCGTTAATTAACTTTGATTAAGGAGTTATAGAGAATTTGACAAATTGTATGGGATTGGTGGAATATCCGTCAGATTACTTTATTTTTATTTACTATATAGACATCATTGAAAATCATTTGGCTTAACATTACCACAAATATGAGAAACCAATAAGTCAATGAGAATTATAAGTGTTATTTTTCGTTTTCAAATACAACCCTGGGAACTCTGACGCGATAGCTGAACACCAACATTCACCATTTCGACAAAAATTTCGAAGCTGTCTGTTCATCGCTTCTCTCGCAAAAATAGAGTAAGGGAATTTGAAAAACAAATCTAACAAACGTACGTTTCTATTTACTCTGAACTCGTGTAGGAAGGAGCTTGGGTCGGTGTGAGTGTGTACAATTAGGCTCCCGGATGTATAGAGTTAGGCTTGGGTAAGCCCAGTCAGCCCCCGCAGTTTGGCTTGGGTCTACACAGTTCGGTTTGTGTCTACAAATTTGAGCATGGGGCTACACAGTTAGGCATGGGTCGACTAAGTTCGGCGTGGGTCTATACAGTTCGGCTTGAATCTACACAGTTCGGTTTGTGTCTACAAATTTCAGCATGGGGCTACAAGTTAGGCATGGGTCTACTAAGTTCGGCGTGAGTCTATACTGTTCGGCTCGGATCTGCACAGTTTGGTTTGGTTGAGCACAGTTTGTGTCTACAAATTTAGACTTTAGTTTACACAGTTTGGTTTGGGTCTATACAGTTGTACTTCTATCTACTCGGGTATGTATCTACATAGTATAGCGGGTATATATGGGTCTCCACAGTTTCTACTCGGTTTACACCTATAGGCTGTAGTCCACACAACTCAACTTGGGTTGGCACACATTGATTCAGTGTCCACAACTTTAGACGTGGATTCACACAGTTAGGTCTTCGGTCTACATAATCAGGCTTAAATCTACATAGTTTGACTGGAGCGACACAATTAGGCATGGATCTATGTAGTTCGGGAAATAATAATATGTGGTTGGAATAATTCAATAATACAACTTACGTATATGCATTGTCGTCTAATAGTGTTCCATCGGTCCACATAAATTTGCCTTCATTTCCCATATCATGAAGACCGATCCAAGATTTTTCTTCAACCAGATCATGAAGGAAGTCCTGAGAGGAAATTGTTCAAATCCAACTTATTCATTACCCTTTGCTTTTTCAAAGACGAATCGTCTACATGACGTAAACGTTACTATGTGGTCCGTATTACAACAATATGTGCTTCTGGTGATGAGATGTTTATACATTGCTTTTTCATTTTTTTTTTTTTTCAATTTAGTGTTTTTATCGTATTTTAGCAAAAAAACAGCAGAAGTGTAAAGCGACGTTGAGAAACACGAAGTAATGGAATTCAACAAGATATGCATTGTTACTATAAAATGTTACATATTATAAAGTGCCGAAAAATACGCCGATAGTTATTATTTCTGAAATGCTCATCAGTTTAATATATTTCATTGTAAGCCGTAAAATTTATTTATTTCCCGATAACTGTTGAAAATGTCAATATCGCACTCTTTCACAGATAAACATACGTCTTTGTGCGAAGAACACTGGACAAATGTAGTCAATTACGAAGCTGGAAATTGTGGGTACCGTATATCAATGCTCCTTATTGAAGCTAAAATAGTTTGTGAAGGTAAAACAGACATGAACTGTATAAAGTACATCATTGTAGGTTCATGAACCCAGTCACAATACCATTGATGAATTTGATTAATGCAAGTTCAAGGTTCAAGGGAATATTGGTAAATAAAACCCATTATTAGCATAATTGTCTGGTCCTACAACTTACATTGATATCTTCGCTTTCTATCACCACCAAGATGGCTCCCATGTCCTCGCATGCTTGTTTAGCCTGGTACCAAGTATGCAATCCGTTCGCATCTTCATAGTAAAAACATCGGTCAGCATACGTCAGCCAACCAGACTCGCATCGTTGTGAGTTAACTGAATGATAGAAGCGTTGAATATGTCAAAGGTGATTGTCCGTAATAACTGCGAGATCTCGCCTAAACACCGTGACGTTAATTGTGCGGACAGAACGTCTGCCGTAAACTTCGAATGACTTGATTTTGAATTTCCTAAAAAACTTCCGAAAATCGATTTTCTTTGCATGAATCAATGCCCGATCAATTGCTATAATTTTGAAAACTCACCGTTTTTTATTTATATGCTATTACGTATGTAAACCAAAAGAAACCCATATCATGTTTTATTTGCCATTTTCACAACATTTCGCTTATTTTGAATTAATAGGGGATGTTCTATAGCTATAAATGTAACGACAGCTAACCTTTCCGATTCATTCCCATCGTTTTAGTGACGAACACCCCCAGTGTTTGTGAACTTCAATGCGATGCGATTCGGGAACTATTTTGATTAGTCTGGGACGGACCCATCAACTGACCTTGTCATAACAATGAATCTATATTATTTATAAGACTGTTATCGTCTAGTACTTTAAATTTAAAAGTCAGATAAGGTAACGTTATCTATCACTCGCTATCTCCGAGGTCATATGTTCAATCAGTTGTCCGTTATTATCTATAATATGAATTTATTTGCAGAATAATAACTATATTTTGTTTAATATCTAATACCTAATGTATCGATTGGTAACATGCACTATTTAAATGGCACGGTGGTTAAGGATCTTTCAGTCGATAACGTAGTTTTCTTTTCAACGCGTGTTGATTAATTGGGATATTCGAACGGATTTTCACTATGTTTTGTCTATACTACTAAAATCGCTTCATGCGATTTGGTATCGGTTTTAACTAAATTAGAGATAGTCATGATCAAACAAAATGTTTATTGAAATGCCGTGCACATAGAGAAAGGTAAACTGCGATAACGAATCGTACGAGTATAAGGTGTTTTGTTGCCATGTAGCAATGTAATGTAAGCGAGATATTATACAGAGACGGCGACTCGAAATGCACGGGGGAGGAGATCTGCCGAAGGCGCGACCTTACCTAGGGGGTCCAGGGGCATGCTCCCCCTTAACAAATTTGAAATATAGACCCTCTTAAACGCTATTTCCTGCATTTTGAGGGGCAAATTTTGCTGACACAAAGGGTTTCAGCTTGATGTTGAAGGACGACGCTCCCAATAACAGAGGGCGCCCCTCTGTCTCCCTGTGCAACCTCCTGTTGCAACATCAAAGTCCACAAAACGTGGCATCAATTGCACGGGTTATGAACGTTTTTCACAATGAGGATCGCTTCCCAAGTGCATCTTCAAGCGGCTCAGACCCGTGGAATCCGACTCGTGAAATCTGACTCCATTGAAAAAAAAAAGTGAAGTATAGAATAAGTCAAATTGAATTTTTTAAAAGGCAAATCACATTTTCTGACTTGGTAGGCCACGTGACCTATAATAATTTGAATGGGTACAATATGAACAGGGCGTAATTATGTGTCCACACAGCTAAACTGGCCGGGCATTGACGATCCGGTGTAAACTAGTTGTTTATCATTACATTGTGCTTGCCATGAATACAATTTTATTTTATTTAAATTGTTAATTACCAAATTAATTACGTTATCTTTTTAATACTAGAATGTTTGGCTTCTACTAAATCCGGTTTTCTATATACATATTATTGTGAATAATATTATTAGGTTATCGGCCGCTATCAATTGTTCGTAGATGTGGCTGATACGAGTAACATCATGTACTAGTGTAATCCATGAACTGGAAGGCGAGTGCATATACCCTATGACGTCACGAGGTTGCACAATTTGTTTTTTGCTCAGCCTACTGTTCGAGTACACATGATATGATGACGTTTATGTTGAATATTGCGACGTTTATTGTACCTTTGCAGCTGTAATATTTCGCACTAAACATAACTGTGAATTATATGGCTTATGACCACGTGATAAATGAAGATATGACCCCAATCATTACAATATTACATCACTATAATATACTATCGACTACACTCTAACATGTTTAATCAATTTTATTACCGGAGTAGTTTTACTGTGAGAACAAATGAACCGCACATAACCAACAAAAAGGCTTATTGTCACCTCAACTGCCCCCGAAATTGACATAGAAGCACTATAGCGTAGAAAACAACAGAACACAGCACGTTTGCTAATATTGACATCTCACCTTATCTGGAATATGCCGAATACACAGTAAATATGGTTGTTTCTGTTTCATTCTTTGGAAATGAGTCACGACGACAGTATTAATACGTTAACTCAAAACAGCGTATACTAAACATACGGTTTAAATACAACTTTTTTAGCAGACTTTTTAATTTTAATGTATTTTATAAGGTGACACATCAACTAAAAAACGTGTTTGTGTGCTGATCATATCAAACCGATCGGTTATCGTTGGTTCAAATGACGCCGGGGACGACCTTCTAAAAGAGCAGCCGAAAAACAATATATAATCTCCATCTCTGTGAGTTTGAAAGTCGTGTAAATGTTGCCATCGTAATTTCATAAAAAGATTACATTGGGCATAATAGACATTGCGTCATTTTCATTCACAATAATTTCCAAAACAACTTAAAGCAACTCACCTGAAACAAGAAAAGTTAGAAAAATTATGATACAGTGAGCACGCGTTGCCATAGTGAAATGTTTTCGCTTTTAAAGGCTGTCACCAAATCATGGGGAGAAATCAGTAGACTCGTGCATTTACTTCAAACCGAGCTTCTGTGTACAATGATGTGCGATATGTGACGAGGAAGACCCTTGGACAGCCCTAGATACGCCCCTTCAACTTTAAGACTGGGCATTGTCTTGTCATGGATAGCCTGTTCTAATCGTAGTGTCAAGGGCGGACGATTGACGGTCGATATCTCTGCTACGTATCAGTATGCGATAACGTATAAGAAAATACAAAAATGCTGTGTACACATCGAATAAGTAATCTTGTCATATTAAAATTTAGTTTTCTTCAATTCGTGATGTAGCAAATGCATCAAAATGAAGGGCGCCCTCGTCAATGGCACATTTCCCCCCGAAAACGTGAAATTTGAGGGCGCTACAAGTAGCGATCATCTTGTGCTCGTATGTTATTCGTTTATGCATTGTGCTGTACGTTATAGACCGGCACACTATGACGTCATTTGTTTTTTGCTAACAAGTATATGTGTGATAAAATGCGTCTTTCACTGAATAGCACTAGATGGTGATATGCTGCGACGAAGTTTTCGGTCAGTTATTTGTTTCTAAGAAAGTTTATTCAATCAATGTTGTGTATAATTGTACTTAAATGGCGGAGGTCGTCGCCCCAAGCATGCGCGAGATATGGGTCTCATAAAATGGCGACTTTTACCAACGAGAATAAACTAAGAGGCTACCAAGCTTTAATTACGTGTTTTTTTAGTGATTGGAAGGTAAGGAAGTGTCACCGGCGGTAATCAGTGCATGTCGCGCTCAGGTCAAAACTCGGGTCCGTGATCAATGTTTATCAGCACATATGTCGCACATGCGCAGCGCGGCGACCACCGCCCTTTAAGGAAACCATTGTTCTTTATAAGGGCAATAACAGTTCTGGTATTTTATCGTCCCTTCTTTTTACAGCGTATTTTGATGATCTTGGTGACGCCCTCAGCGATGTCAGAATCGGCTGGCACATGGAAGTTGTCTCAGTCGTATAATTACGCTGACGTCATTGTGCTACTGTGTTTACCGTAAATAGGCTACACAGTCTGCTAAAAACTGAATCATGACATTAATTTCAGCTGTATGAAATCGACGTTTATGTATTTATTACCACGTCGATGTAGTATAAACAGTGCTCCCATGTATATTTAGAAGATTTTAAAGTTAAAATTGTAAATTTTTATTTAGAATAGTGATTAACTCAGCTAGAATGATAATTCCAATATTAGAGGTCAAATAAAAACTTGTTATGCTAGAGCTAACAGTCTGCTGTGCATATTTTCTTATTGCGCTGTTTTTGTTAAATATAAAGCCCATTGTTCTTCTTCGTAATGCTCCCAAGTTTGGTCTGTAATTACCAAGAAATACATGAACGATTTTCGCGGGACATACTATGATGCATTCTTTATTCGCGGTCCTGGCTGTATCATTAATATATATCAAACCCTCGTTTTGAATGATATTTTGACATTGGGATGTATATGTAATGTAAATTTGGGCCAGTGTTCACCTCACGTTAAACAAGGGTGTTAATCTTTGTTGAAAAATGAACGCGAGGCTGAAAAGTTAAAAAAATTAACGTTAGGAAAGAGACAGAGAACACGAGGCAATAGAGAGAGAAAGAGAAAGTAAAACAGCATGAACTTCAAGTGTTGAGGTTGCGTGTGGAAGCTAATAGTTAACATAAAGGTGTAGAAAAGTTGGCTGATTCCATTGTTAGTTTCAAGGATCCAAAGCTGCCATTGCTTGATGAGACTAGGGACGAGATGAATTCATTTATTTTAAAGTTCAAGTGATTTGCTGCAATTCTGAAATGGTCACGTGATAGTTGGGTTATGAATCTTATTCCATTATTGACAAGCAAAGCTTTTTATTTGTTTTCAGCATTGTCTGCAGCAGACGCCATCGATTACATAGTTGTAAAGGCAGCTTTGTTGAACGGTTATATAAGAAGATTTCAACTAGGAGGGCAAACGGTTGAGAGAGCATTTCGCAATTTGCAGCCAAAGTCGGGCTGTTATGTTTATGGTGACCCAAATCACTCTGCTGTTAATTGTCCTAAGTGTTATAAAAGTTCCAAGCCTCAGGTTAAGTCAGCTGCTATGTTGGCATGTGATTGGAATAGTATTAATAATTCACAGGAAGTCATAGATGAGTGCTACTTGTGGTAGTTCATGAAGTTACATATGCAAGTAGACATCCATGTTTACAAGGACGAGATATAGAGTGGAATTGAATGAGGACATGAGCTGCCAATTATTAGTGTTGCACCAACTTTATTGAGGTACTGAGGTAGTGGTCCCGCGTAATAGT